GTCAAGCAGTGAAGACCACTTACATTTTGGCTCACAATGAAGACGGGATTTGATGGGGCTTGTTGCAATAACCCTGGAATATATAATGCGAAATATGTTTGTTAGCATGGTGACAGATAAACATGCGCACATGGTGTTTTGCAGCAAGAAGGTAGGATCAAGTCAGCTTCCATGGAGGACATAAGCTTACGCCTAACGAGCTTCCTGTTTCTTTCATCTGTAAGTAAAAAGGGGCCCCAGTACTTCAAATACAGCGTTGCTTCGCGGCTGCTGCAAGAGAAAGGATCATAAGGAAGCATTCACTCTACTGTCATTCAGGACGAGGTTTTAGTGACGTGCTACAATAAATCCACAGTCCTTTTGGAAATGTTCATACCGGCACCTATCTAGGCCTCTTGTAAAGGCCGCTACGGTGCTTCCGTCTATTACTGCTAGCGGTAGCTTATTCCAGTTACTGACTACACGGTTGAAAAAGAAATTTGCCCTGATATCCAGCCTAGATTACTGATACTAGAGCAACGGTTGGTGCCCTCGCTGGTGAGCTGACACAGTTAGCTCAATTATTTCAGTATACTGCATGCCACTAAAACCCGTCATGATGTTAAAGGTCCCAACAAGATTCCCGCTTAGGTTGCACCGTTCCAATGCATACTGGCCTAAGCTACTTAGGCTTTCCGTGTATGGATTCTCTCCTATATCCCCAATCATCATAGCAGCCTGTTTTGTACTTTTTCTATACAGGCCACGCCTTGCCGGTGACACGAAGCCCACGCCTGTACGCCGAATTGTAGATGAGGTCAAACAGCCGCTGTGTATAATGGAAAAGCCGCAGCTGTGTAATAGGCGTAGTACCTAGATACCACGCTGCGTCGGAAAAGTTAAACCGTAAGAGTATTTTACTCACCGTATAGTAAAAATACTGAACGTATTCTTATTTTTCATTTCAAAGGGGAATCGGAATATCACCAGAGGAATGGTGCGGATCTTGGTTTAGGCTAGCGATATATGCATCTTAAGGAAACACAAAGCAAAACATATTAGCAGTGTGTTAACAAATGCTAGGTTGTCGACTAATATCTTGACCACGTAACTATTACATTAACCCAGCACCCCACAACTTCATAACGTTCGGTAGATAATCATTTACAGCAGTTGTATTTTCGTTGGAGATAGCCAAACATTCGAGTTTTCTTGTGCCTAGCAAACTCACAAGAGCTTAAGGTTCCCTATCGGTGGAGAAAGTTTGGAAATAGCTGTTCACTGGCCGGTACTCGGGCGCAGATAGCTGGTCACGTTGTACCAATTCATCATCCGGTTGCGTCAGCATCGATTAATCACTGCTAAAAAGCAGGAAAAGCTACGTAGCGTGCAACTAACATTTTGTAAAGATGTACACACATAACAATTAGAAAACGTTAAATCACTGCCAGCTGTGAATAAGCCCAACGTTGCACGGTTTCCCGCGCTGATTTACTCGAGCGGTTGTTTCATTTCAACTTTCAGTTGTCGGTGGAAGCATGGTCTGAGCGGATCTGCCAAACCTACAAATGGGAAGCGCAACAAAGCACTGCAGAATAGCAGGTTCTAAGGAGTTTTAAGGATGATCGAAGGTCAACGAGGGAAGTCTTACGAAGACCGTCTAGTTAGCTTAGGATTATTTTCCTTGGAACGGCGTAGGTTGAGGGGATTTGATAGAGACGATTAAGACCATTAAGGGACTTAGTGGTATTAGTTCCACCCGGCTGTTTGAGTTTGCTATGTCAGACCGTCTGCTCGGGCATCGCCTGAAGCTCAAACATCATAGAGCTCATTTGGACATCACGGCAAAGTTTTATACGAACCGAGTTGTTAACTTCTGGAATAAACGTCCTTCTGATTTATTGGAGTCGGAGACCGTAGAAACCTTCAAATGTGGCTTAAAGGATTGTTGGTCCATCATTTTTCCTCTATGGTGATGATGAAAAAGCAAACCTATTGGCTGCGCAAAATTCCTCGGTCTACTCAGTGGAGTCACCACTGCTCAACAACTGTTTGCTTGCACATTACTCCTCTATGGACCAAGTTGAAAGTAACCCCGAAGTAGTCATTAAGCTACTCCTTGAACTGGACCCGAACTCCTCCCCAGGCCAGGACGGATTGCATCCCAGCTTCCTCAGAACGATAGCTGAGTACGTCGCCGCCCCTCTCTGCCAAGTGTTTCGGCAATCCCTTGAAGTCGGCTGCCTACCTACAGGCTGGAAAGCAGGCACCGTCCTGCCCAAATACAAGGGGGGAACAAACAAGACCCAGTCAAATACCGGCCAATATGTCTGACATCAGTCGTGTGCAAAACCATGGAACAGATAGTCAAGTGCGCTCTCCAGCTACACTGTGTGCATCTAAACCTCAGCTCACCTGCTCAACATAAATAAATAAATGGCTTCTGGAGAGCACGTCCATGCATCACTAACTTACTCATCGCTAGGAAAACATGGACAGAAGCCATAGATACCCGAAAACAGGTTGACCTAATGATCATTGACTTCAGCAAAGCCTTTGATAAGGTTCCACACGTACGACTGCCACATAAACTCCAGGGAATTGGCATTACGGGAAATCTTAAGGGGTTGGACAATGCGCCTACAACTGAACCAAACCCTCTCTGCTCCAGTGCCTATGACTAGTGGCATTCCCCAAGGATCAGTGCTTGGACCAGAGCTCTTCAAATTTTACATTAACGATCTACCGACTGCGCTACAAACCGACTGCTTGATCTACGCCGATGACCTCAAGCTTTGGTCATCGGTATCCAGCATTGAGGATGCAGACAGATTACAAGAAACCCTAGACCAGCTACACGAATGTTCCATCAGGTGGGAACTGCCAGTAAACTGAGATAAGTGCGCTGTTCTCCCAATGGGTGGCACCGAACCCTACGGTGCATACCACATTGGTGGGTTTCTCCTTAGGAATACCATCCACGAGAGAGCTCTCGGGGTTATCGTGACTTCTGACCTTAGAACGAGGCAGGACACGTTAAAGAAGTTGGCCACTGGAAGGAGACTGGTAGGTGCCTTAAGAAGATCGTTCGTTCGAATGACTCCCGAGATTTTTCGACCGTTGCTCACTTCGTAAGTCCGTCCAGTCTTAGAATATGGCCTACCAGCTAGCCATCCCCTTTCAAAGTTTGAATGCGCTCTGCTGGAAACGGTTCAGAGACGTGCATCAAAAGATGTTCTGGGGCTTCGTGATCTTCCGTACCCCATTCGACTCCAGCAGCTATATCTGTTCTCCCTCGAGCTCTGCCCTCGCCGGGGTGATCTCATCTACACTAGGCGCATCCTCCGAGGGGAACTTGGAAGTGAGTTACAACAATTCTTCCGGCCCAACACTGACTGCTCCACCCGAGGGCACACATGGAAACTGTTAAGGCAAAGAAGACACAAAATTCGCAAGGACGTCACCCTATCCACTAGAGTGGTGAATGACTGGAACAGCCTACCGGAAGCAATTGCAGACGCTCCATCCGAGGAAAGTTTCAAGCGGCTGCTAGACAAAAATTCGCTGAGAATGCTGGAATCGTGCGGCTGTCACTGCAATTACGACTAACCCTCGAGGAACGTGGTAACGCAACGACACTCATCAAACCCAGTATGATACGGAATCGATGGGGCTGACAACGGGTTTCCCTCCTGCTCTCTACAACTCAATGAACTCAATATTTTGGTTGTGCTGGAATATGTAGTGTATTTTGATGCTGGCATATGAAAGTGCACAGATTGCTCTTGTTCTTGCTTCATTCCATTGCAGAAGCAAGAAGAGACAATCCAACGTCGAAGTGCTGGGGGCCGCTTCACTTACCGGCACGAGAACCGGACGTTCGTTAGGCGGAAGCCTATATCGTCCGTTTGAACTGACCTGACCTGCTTATGAGTTTCAACGTAGAATGCATCTTTCAAACAAGGAAACTTCTACCTTTATAAGTATACATTTAATTTATGTTTCTCAATGTTAGTATTTCTTTAGTTACCAGAATCAGAATCAGAATCAATCAGAATCAAATTATTAGTAGAATAAGATAGGAAGCAATGTGATCTCCATCATAAGTAAAGCAAAATGACCCATGCCGAATATGGGTCTGTGTGAATGCCCATCAATAGTCGTTTAGTAATAAGCAAACAAAATACTGATGTATAAGCACAAAGAAAGCACTACGTGTCTTGGTCTTTTAGGGTTGCTAGTGTAGCCGTGACGTAACCACGTGACGAAAGGAGGTCAAACATGGCGTCTGCATCGAAACACAAGTCTGAAAAATGTTTGTCAACGCTTCGTTTGAAACATTGCACTGAATCAGAAAGAACAACGGAACTGGGCAACCAGTTCCAGAAATGTATCACACGTCGCGCGAAACCATGAATATGAGTGACATTGTCCATACGTGGAACTTCCAGCTTGTAAGAATGCCCTCGGGTGATAGTTGCATCCACAATACAGAACATATGTCTCAGGTGAGGAAAATGTCTCAGGTGAAGGATTCTAAAAGTTGTAATGAGGTCAATTCGTAATCTCCTGTACACTAGTGTATGGAGACGTAACTTGTGGCACCTCTGTTGGTATGATACGCCTTGGAGCGTGGGGATCAGGCGGGTGACAAGGTGCTGGACTTTATCCAGTTTTCTCATCTCACTTTTTGTACTTGGATAATAGGCCGGTGCCCCGTATTCTAAAAGCGGGCGCACCATGGAGACGTATAGCCTGACAGCAATTTCCTCCGACCAAACGTGGAAGGCCCGCTTTACTGACCAAAACATGCGAAGGCTGGAACAGTAGACCTTGTGCTTATTTATTTATTATACATTATTGATTATACATTATTAGTTTATTATAAAAACTACATATGCTAGTTAATGCAATGCGCATATGTAATAATAAATAAATAAATAAAATATGTAATAACAAAACTAAATGAAATAAACATAATTGTTTACTTAAGCCGTATCGCAATAATTCATTAATAAAGCACTATGATGTATATTATTTGGCATCGACAAACATATACAACCTCTTATGCATACGCTACCTACGTACTTACATATGTAATATACATTGTCATATTTGATGCTTTTCTACTTTAATTTTGTGTTTTTAAATAATTAGTGGTGTACCTTACGTTATTCGCAGCCGCATATGAACAAGAGTAATTTCAGGTCCGGTGATCTCCGTAATCTGTTGTCGGCCTCTTCCTGCTCGGCCCTTCCATTGTGTTCAGTGTCTGAAAAGTTTGCTCTGCATTACTTGTTTCAAAAGCAACCGCTTTTGTATGTATAATGACCTCAGAAGAGCGCGAGATCGTAAGTTAATGGCTGATCTGCCTTACTTATGTAGTGTCCGTTATGCATGGAATCTATGGAAGCAGACGACTTGGCATTTTTCCCCTGTGACTGCCGATACCAGGTTAGACTATGTGGTGTTCTGTAGATTTCTAGGTCTGTCGTTTTTGCTGGGCAAAAATCATCAACGAAGAAAATGGCCTCTGTCCGGCATGTCGAAAAGAGTATAATTCTGAAAAGCCAGCTATTTACAGACCTATCTCAGAAACAGAGTAGGAGTCAACGAATAGTAGTTACTTTTTCAGGGATCCAAAAGGAAAGTCGAACAGGAAACGCAAGGATAACTTTAAAAAATCTAAGTTGAGCGCCGAAATGCTGAAGCTGCTGCCTGAGTTGAGGTACACTTCGCCTACCCAACAACTGACTGTTTAAGGGTTGTGCAACCAAATCTCATCTTTGTTGTTGGGCTACCAGCATGGATCTGCAAAGACAAAGAAATTTTGAAGGGATCCGATTATTTTGGTCGTTTTGGCAAGGTGTTCAAGGTAGAGATAAACCAGAATCAAACTTTCGGAGGACCTCAGGTTTGTTTATTCTTGTTTTCACCGACTAAACCACTTGCTTTGTTGCGTGGCCTATCACTAAGTGGTCGTATGGTCCCAGACTCCCTGCATCGTGGCGATCTCATGCTGCTGCAACTAGTTTGCTTTAGCCACATACACCCAACTTGTGGATGTCGTTGGGATCCGCTCAAGTACTTTATCTCCTTACGCTTTTTGTTTAACATGCAAGGTGCTGCACGCGTCCACGGCCGCTTTTTATTGCTGGGAAAGGGACAATTTCAATGACTGGTCGCACTTTTCCCCAAGTGCCAGTATTTTTGCTGGACACTATTGGCCGTTGAACTCTTACGGCCATCTTCCTGACTTACCGACTCATATGTCTATTTGGTATGTGCCCTCGGTTTGGCCGCTAATATCCATTGTCCAGCGGCAACCTTTAGTTTGTTAGTGCAGACGATTTTCATGAACTGTAGGTGCTGTTGTTATCGATGACCTTACTTTTCAACTACCCATCCTATGAGCAGCTTGCGTAATTTGCTTATAAGTTGATCCGCGCCCCTAATTGGTTACTACATATTCCGAACTTTTCATGACGGATTGTCTACGTTTTTGTTTAGTGTTGTACTTTGTGTGATGGTTGGATTCATTCTGCTTGCTGTGGTATCAGTCCGGGCCTATATGGACAGCTACAACGGACACCGTCTCAAGCTATCGCTTTCTTTTGTGACTCATGCAGAGTAACAACCAGTGACAGACGTGTACTTGCCGGTTTACCAGCGCTTAGTCCACGTCCCTCTCTTCCTCACACTGCGTTGATCGCTTCCCCGGACTTAGTTTTACCTGTGGGTCCTTCTTCCCCCTGTTCTGGATTCGTAACTCCTATCGGTAAGCAAAGTCGTGCCACGTCTCCCTCAGTACATCTTTCTGCTCGGCATGCCGAGCCTGCAGTCAGGACCTATGCATCTGTGGTGAGAGGACTCGCAGCGCCGTCAGGCAGTCACAACTCAGCTATGCGAGAAGCGAAGCCAAAAGCATAATCTAGTATCAAAGCCAAGCCCTCTTCTCAATTGGAGTTTAACAAAGTTCTTGATAGACTTACTCAGTTGGAGAACTTGGTTAAGGACATATCGATTTCTCCTAAGCAACAGACATCTAGGGACTCCCATCGTCCCTCTCGTGACCGCTGCCTTATAGTGGTAAATGCGCCGGAGTCTTCTAAATCTACGCCAGCTGAAAAGATCCTAGATGATGAAGCGTTTTTAATAAGGATGATTTCACTGTTGTTTGATGAAGGTGAACCGGGGATAAATGTTGTTTCTGCCTTTCGCATTGGCAGGAAGCAGGAGGACTCTACAAAGTCTCGTCCTCTCAAGATCGTATGCCAAAACGAGGATGAATGCAGGCGCATCCTCCGACGCACTTCACGTCTCAAAGGAGAATCGTTTTATGTTCTGAGAGATCTGTCCCCTGAAGATCGGATAAAAATGAAGAGTGCGGTTGGGGAACTTCGAACCCGCCGGGCAAATGGTGAGACGGACCTTCACATTGTGGATTTTCGAGTGGTTCCGAAAACTCCGAGAACTCGCTGGAGACCCATCCTTGTCCTACCCGGACAGTGAGGTCGAAGACCGGTTTGAGTGTGTTGTCCGCTAATGTGCGCAGTTTGCGGAACAAATTGGACGAGATTCAACTTCTTGCCATGGATAATCACCCTGATTTGATGGCTTTCTCTGAAACCTGGCTGTCCCCGAACATCCGTGACTCGGAAGTATATATCCCTGGATATCACTTCTCCCGGGCAGATCGCCACGGAGTGAGGTCAGGCGGGGGCGTTATACTCTATTGGAGGACGAACCTCAAGGCACATTTGCTTGATGCTACTTGTGATATAGATGGTGGCTTCGAAGCTCTGTGGTGTCGTATTCATGACGGGTGTAGATCTCTCCTGGTCTGTGTCGCCTATAGATCTCCCTTGGGTTCGGGAGCTCTTTTACTGGATTCAATTAAATCGCACGCCAAAGGTAAGGACTGCTTAATTGTTGGAGACTTCAATGCACCTGGCATTGACTGGGACCTGCTTTATTGTGGTCTTCCTTTTGACTCTTTTGATGCCCTTCTCCTTCAGATCGTTCTCGATTGTAACTTGTCTCAGCATGTATTTTCACCCACTCGGTTGTTCTCAGGCCAAACGCCGCACATTCTTGATCTAGTGTTATCCCCAATGCCGTCAGATGTCACCGACCTGGTTATTATGCAACCTATTGGTAAGAGCGATCACTGTGCTATTTCCTTCCAATGGGCACGTCGGTTTTCTGTTCATGACCAAGGTGATTTCCGGCGTAATTTCTGGCGAGCCGATCCACAGCGTCTGCAGGAGGCTGCTTCTAACATGGACTGGACCATTCCTCATTTTTTGTGTGTTGACGATGCTTGGACTCACTTTTACTCCAACATGATGTCGCTAATCAACCAGGTTGTTCCTATTTCTAAAAGTAGAGGTCTAACAAGAGGTCCTCCTTGGATTGACAAACAGTTGAGGTCTCTGATGAATAAAAGACGCAAATTATGGGATCGATTCAAGTGTACACAATCGACGGCCGACTACTTGCAGTACAAAACGCTTAGGAACCTTTGTATCCTGAAGAAGCGGGAGAATCGCCAAAACTACGAATTACAGTTAGCTGTGCAGTCCAGGTGCTCCCCCAAAATGTTCTTCTCATATCTGAAAAGGGGTACCAAAGGTGGTAATGGCATTCCATCTCTGTATTCCAGTGAACACGCTGCCTTACTTCAGGAGGATGCTGCGAAAGCGGATCTCTTAGCTCAACAGTATTCATCCGTTTTTACAAATGAAACTCCGTTTTCTGACGTAGTACTCCCATGCTCATCTTTGCTGGATCATCTCGAGATCAGTACGGAAACTGTTACTCAATTCCTTCTTCAGTTAGATCCGAACACCTCGCCCGGTCCTGATGGCCTGCACCCACTGTTTCTCAAGACCGTGGCTAAGTACATTGCAGCCCCAGCTTGTCATGTGTTTCGCTGCTCTATTGAATCCGGACGCCTTCCATCAGCCTGGAAGCTGGGTATTGTCAAGCCCATATTTAAAGGAGGGAACCGCCAAGACCCAGCAAACTATCGTCCCGTTTGCCTAACATCAGTAATGTGTAAAATTATGGAACGGATTCTCAAGGGAGCTCTCAGCCTTTACTTCGAAGACCGGAATGTGATTTCTACTGCTCAGCATGGCTTTCGTAAGTCACGCTCGTGTACCACCAATTTGTTAGTTGCCAGAGAGAAATGGGCGAACTCTCTGGATGCTGGCAAACGTATGGATGTTATCTACGTAGATTTCAGCAAAGCGTTTGACAAAGTTCCTCACGAGCGGCTTTTGTTCAAACTTCAAGCAATTGGTGTCTCTGGGAGGGTTTTGTCGTGGATTTCGGATTTCCTTTCAGACCGAATTATGCGAGTTAAGGTCAACAATACGTATTCACCCTCCGTCCTTATGAGCAGTGGCGTTCCTCAGGGCTCTGTTCTTGGACCAGAGTTGTTCAAATTCTTCATTAACGACCTTCCTTCAACCCTCCGGACCGAATGCTTGATCTATGCAGATGATTTGAAGTTATGGATGGAGGTAACCAGCGCTGAGGATGCTGACCGCCTCCAAAATACACTGGATCGGCTGCACGATTGGTCTCTTAAATGGCAGTTGCCTATAAATCGCGATAAATGTTCTGTGCTCCCCATTGGTGCTACTGAACCATTCGGTGTTTACCACCTTGGTGGTTATTTGCTTAATAATGTGAAACAGGAAAGAGACCTTGGTGTTATAGTATGCTGTGATCTAAAAACCACCCAAGATACTTTGAAGAAGGTTGCTGCGGCTAACAGACTACTGTGTTCTATCCGAAGAGCCTTCTCACGATTGACGCCGGAGATCTTCAGACTTATCTTTTCCTCCCATGTGCGTCCAATCCTCGAATATGGATTACCCGCAGTTCATCCACTTTCAAAGCTTGAACATGGCTTGATTGAAAAAGTTCAGCGACGCGGTTCTAAGTATGTCTTTGAGTTCCGACACCTGCCATATCACCTTCGTCTCCAGCATTTGAATATGTTCTCCCTGGAATATCGGCGTCGCCGAGGCGATCTGATCTACGCTCGGCGCATTCTGCGAGGCGAGATAGGAAACGAGCTCCAAGATTTCTTCCAGGTTAACACTGAGTGTTCGACTCGGGGCCACTGCTGGAAACTGTTCAAACCTAGGAGACTCAGACTTCGCTCTGATTTTACACTATCGACTCGTGTGGTGAACGACTGGAACTGCTTGCCTAATTCCGTCGTCAACGCGCATACGGAAGAATGTTTTAAACGATTGTTGGATTTATACCTCTTGAATTTGCAGGGATCTTGTTGTTTCTTATGTAACTGTGACAATTTAACTTGTTAATTGCTGTTGCGCCAACACCTGCTATGATTGGGAGGTGATGGAGCTGACAAAGGTCTTTCCTTCTGCTCTCTATAATACAATGATTACAATGATTCACTTACGATAGAGCCAATTGCTATCCACTTCCTAAGTACGTCTATAGCGCGACCGTCGTGCGCTACATATCAGGAACTCCCATTTGAACGGCCAACCAAATGCATGCAGCAGAACACACTAAAATAACCTAGAAAATGTTTATTGGTAGGTTGCTAAGTCCCAAGGCTAAAGATAAGGCACCGAGAGATATCTAACTAGGAAGTATGTGGTACCGTCGCAACGAGACTGGACCTTAACGTGGTGCGACGGTTTGCGTACCTCATTGACCCATTGAGCTATACTGGGTGATGCCTCCGAGCATCTTGAGAGCTACTCCTACCAGGTTGGTCAATGATGAGAGGTCAGACAAACTCAGTCTCCTGGTCCTCCAGGTTGGGGGTTTGAAATGGGATGGCGTCCATTTCTGTAAAACTAAATCACTGCCACCCCGCTGCCTTGCGGACAGGCTTTTAAGCTAAATGCTTTGGATGAGGACCCTAATCGTTCTCCTGTCTAGGTCTGGGCGCCCTGGCAGTATCCCAGCCCACATACAACCATGACATTTTCTTCAAACATAAACTTCATCCTGCATCGGCCGTCGGGCAGATTATCAAGGGTCGCCTTATCTGCTGCATACAGCAGGGCGGATAAGCGAAAGCATGCTACTGCTTGCGCCTCCCTTCTTTCTTTTCCACCTTTTTCTCTTACTCCCATCCCGGCCCCCATTACTAACCTTCCTTCTATAATTCCCAGCTTAATTGACAGCAACCGAAGTGCTACTGGAGTAGAACCATCTGCAGCCACCATCCCACAGCACCTATCGGACGCCTATCGGCGAAAGTCCCTTATAAGACCACGCTGTCCCGTTTCCATGGCGACCTTCAACGTCCGCACTCTAAGACAAACAGGTCAGCAGGCTGCACTCGCACGCACCTTGGACACACTGGGTGTTGATGTGTGTTGTGTGTCCGAAACTAGGATTAATGACCCTAACGGGGTTATTGAATTGACTGCACCCGGCTTATCCTCTCGTTATTGGTTGCACGCATCCGGAGACGCCGATGCGGCACTCACCGGTCAAGCTGGTGTAGGTATCATTCTCAGCTCCAAGGCTGAGTTATCGTTGGTTGATTGGATTCCGGTGAACAGTCGTTTATGTGCAGCCCGTTTGACGACATCAGCTAAGGTGAATTCGCGAAGTAAAACAAAACGCTGTTTGTTTGTGATTTCTGCTTATGCTCCCACTGACTGCAGTTCTAATGCAGTCAAGGACACTTTCTATCACGAACTGAACACGCTGCTACGCAGTGCTACTAGTTCAGATATTATAGTACTTGCAGGGGATATGAACGCACAAGTAGGGCGTCTGAGCTCTTCAGAAGCTCATCTGGGTGGTAAGTATGGACTTAACTCCGAACGGACTGACAACGGCGAGCTTCTGCTGCAACTGTGTGCGGAGCACCAGTTGTTTCTTACTAGCACTGCTTTTAGACACAGTGGGCGCCGAAGTGCCACTTGGCGTCCACCTGTAGCTGGTCAGCGATGGACCCAAATTGACCACATAGCCATAAGTTACAGGTGGCGCGGTTCCATCCTGGATTGCCGCTCGTACTGGAGTACCTGTGTCGACTCTGACCATGCCTTGGTGCGCTGTCGTTTCTCCATGAACTTTACCGGAAGGCGCACAAAGCGTCTCCCCCGATTGGCAACGGAGAAATTGTCCCAGCCCTCTGTCAGGCAAGCCTATCAAGAAGCACTGCATAGCGAACTCTCGCTGTCTTGTCCTAATGATACTGAACTTCTGTGGAATAAGATCTCGGCCACTATGCACGACGCAGGAGCATCTGCTTGTGGCACTATCAGTCGTCATCGCACCAGTCACTGGATATCCGAGAGGTCCGTGAACCTTTTGGAAGCTAGAAGGCACCTCCCGGCTGGTTCTGAACACAATGTGACCAGACGGGCTATTAGGCGTGAAGTAAAGCAGAGCCTACGTGCTGACAAGGAAGCCTGGTGGACCAGTCGGGCTCAAGAAATGGAGGAGGCAGGAGCAGTAGGCAATTACCGCAAGCTCTTCCAGCTAATACGCACCACTGGTCCGAGAAAACCAGGCGTCAGTGAGACAATCAGGGACAGCGCGGGTGCGCTGATACACAATAAGCAGCGCCGTATGGCTCGTTGGGCTGAGCACTTTGAACATCAGTTCAGCTGGCCCCCATCTCCCGGACCTCTTCCTACTCAGGTGATGCAGGACGAGCCATGGACGGTTAGTTTAGAGCCTCCGTCGGAGGCCGAAGTCCGAAACGCGATCACAGCACTTAATCGTTTTCGTGCCGCTGGCCCGGATTTCCTACCACCTGCACTATTTAAGGATGGTGGTGAGGTCCTCTGTAAAGCACTGACCTCCCTATTCGAACGTATCTGGAACGAAGAGAGTGTGCCGGCTAATTGGAGCGAATCGATTATAGTGGCAATATACAAGAAGGGCAGTCGCACAGACTGTGCGAACCACAGGGGTATTAGCCTAACGCCAGTTGTGGCAAAATTACTGGCCTCGATTATCGTTCGTCGCCTCACTGCAGAACGGGAATCTCGGATTAGAGAAGAGCAGGCCGGTTTTCGCCCAGGACGTGACTGTATAGACCATATATTTACTTTGCGGCAGGTGCTAGAGCAGCGCCACGCATACCGCAGACCGACAATAGCTGTGTTCCTCGATTTCAATAGTGCGTTCGATTCAGTCGATCGATCGATTCTGTTCGAAATACTTGCGCGGAAAGGTGTTCCCACGAAATATGTGAACATCTTTCGTGTTCTATACTCTAACACTACAAGCCGCGTCAGGGTCTATGGTGCCCTATCGGATAGCTTTTCGACTACAAGTGGCGTTCGTCAGGGTTGCCCGATTTCCCCATTTTTGTTCAATTTCGTTGTGGATTCTATCATGTAGTGTTCCCTTGCGGAATCTCACGATGTAGGTGTTGAAGTGCTGCCTGGTGAACGGTTAGTTGATCTAGATTATGCGGACGATATCGTCTTGCTTTTCGACAATGTTGAGGCGGCACAATCAACCCTGAATAGCCTATCCAGAGTGGTCCCATTATTTGGTATGCACTTCGCACCTTCAAAATGCAAAGTGTTGCTGCAGGACCACCAGCCACTCGATGACCCCTTGACGCTTGCTAACGAGGAACTCGAGGTGGTTGATCAATTCACTAATCTTGGCAGCTGCATCAGCAATGATGGGCGCATGGAAAATGACGTTAGCTCACGCATTGCAAAGGCCAGAGCTGCCTTCTTGAACCTGCGTCATCTTTGGCGACAGAAGGGAGTTTCCCTCCGTCTGAAAGGCCGTGTATACAAGGCCACAGTGAGGGCCGTTCTGCTCTATGGTAGTGAAACTTGGCCCCTTCGGTCTGAAGATCTGAGGCGCCTTCAAGTCCTTGATCATCGTTGTTTGCGAAGCATTGCTGGTGTCGGATGGCACCAGCGTGTCCGCAACGATGATGTGCGTAGGCGAGTACTAGGGGGTGATGATCATGCTAGCTCCCTAGAACAACAGATAGCACTGAATAAGTTACGTTGGCTCGGGCACGTGCTACGTATGCCTGGTCACCGCTTACCTAGGAGGGCCTTGTTCAGTCTACCAGGTGTAGGATGGCGCAAGGCTCGAGGTGGACAGAAGTTGACTTGGCAGCGGGAAATGAAGTCACTGACGACCAAACTGGGTGCCGTTGGTCCGTCTCGCCTTCCGGGTTGGAGTCCACGTGACTCGACTTGTGCTTGTCTCGAGACTTTACAGGACATGGCTCGCAACCGACACCAGTGGCGCGTCTGCTGCCGTCTCCTAATCGGATTGTCTGTTTAAAGTGTGTTTGGTGCTGAGTTATCTGCGGGGTAATGGCTGATTATGACGCGTGGCAGTGAAAGCCGCAAGGAAGCTGTCTCGCCGATGCCGCCTTATCTTTGCACGATAGCCAGCTGTTTGTGACGGTATGTTGTTAACACAAGGTGTAGGTGCCTTGACCCAGAATGTTTGCTAAGGGCATTAAGGTTTTCAGGTAAGTCCACCTTCTCTCCCTTTTCTTATTCTTTATTTCATAGGTCCTCATGGTTGTATGGCAGCGAAGCATCAGTTCAAATGGCTGATGTACTGCTGTTGATGATGATGATGATGAGTATGTGGTAGGGTGCTGAGTGCGATGGACAGCCAACCTACGGTTTCGAAGTCCGGGGGAAAACTCCAGATGTTGTCAGTGTGTCTGAAGCAAACCGTGCACCACTCGAACCTGCAAACCACCTACTCCCCTGATACATAAAAATGTGACTTCGTAATGTAGATTGATTTACACAACAAGCGGGGGAATCTCCAGGTCACTACACAACCCCCTTCTAGAAGGTTGGTCTTGGGTGACCGGTCTACGTGAGGACTCTCCGTCGCCAGTCAACTTTCTGCAGACCAGGTGGTGAAAACCTGATGTTGCTGCTGGGGGAGCACTAGCGCGATCGAACCCTAGCAGGCTCCCACCCGTTTCCACACTAACGATGCCAAAAACAAAATGGGGGAACTTTGTGGGTGTCAAATGTTCACAAGTTTGTGAACCTCAGACGTTCGCTTTCAGTTCATCCCTGTTCATACATGAAACGGTAAAAAAACGCATCTTGACAATAGTGGCGAGAGAAACAAGGAAAACGGCACTTACCGAATGGCCGAGCACCGAAATAAACCTGTTTTTGGGTTTTTCAAAACCTTTTCGTTTTTTGGAGTTTTCAAAAGCTTTTGCCCTTTTTCCGTTTTCGTACGGGGTTGGCCAGAAAGATAGAGAAAGCGTGCAAAGAGAAGTAGAAGGACACCTAAACTTTCACACGCGCTGGCCAGTGAACTAGCCTACCCGACCTAGTCGACTTCTGCGGTTCAAGTGACGATGTTGTCGAC